GTTAGAAGGGTGGACCATTTTAAGGAAAGAACTGGAAAAAGCGCCCTTGATAAAACAAACTGAAATACCTTAATACTCAAGTTCCTCTAGAACTTGGCTATACACCCACAGTTTCAAAAATAAGAAAATAGAACACAAAGTTAATGGCTATTATAATGAAAACCAACTACCTCTCTCATTCACAAGGGGGAAATGTTGCTCAAAGTTTGTTTCCTGAAGGTTGTCTGGAAGCTTCATAGATCAGGAACAGTTTTTAAATGGTTAGGATTAAATAAAAAAACCCCCAAACAACTGAGTAAGGTAAGCTACATACACTAAGACAAATACGAAAAGCCATCTCAATAAAATGAAATTCTAGAGAAAATGGCTAAAACATGGTAAAAAATTAAAGGAGTGTTAGTCATGAGGAGGCAATGCCTGCCTCTTTCCCACAGTCAAGTTTACCACCTGGCACTACAGCTAGCCAGGAGACTGAAAAGCCTGCCAGGAAACTAGCCACAATCCCATGTGCTGCTGCTGGAAAAACCAAATTCCACTGCTTATCATTTGGGCTCTGCAGCTGCCAAGCACACTCTGCATGGGGTGAAATATCTTTGCACTGATGCTAATGAGCACAATCAGGAAGAAGAACTGGAGTACATTCAACAGCAGTGCCAGCCCAGAAAGGAATTAAAAGATCCAAACTGGTCTTCAAACAACAGAGTATCTGTGGCTCTTCAGTAAATGTGCTCTTCTTCAGAGGAAGAAAACCTGATGCAATGTTTAAAGGTAAGCCTGAAAACATATTGTTCCTTACGGTCCAGTTACGGATTCTGATCAGCTTAGATCGTAAGTTAAGGATTCTGATAAGCTAACCAGAGAAAATAACACATTTTCATAATGGAAGAAATAAACTTCCCCACCCCCAAAAATCATCCAGATATCTTAAAATGTTATAATTTCTCTAAAATAACACCTACTGAAAAAGAAAATTTTTTGTCTTTGCTCATCTGGTAAGATTTAGGGTTCCAGGTTAGTAGAGTTCTTTTTTCTAAGTGTCTTCTGCAGACTTAGGAATTCTGTTTGCAATATGTAATTGCACATTTCTTAGGAGAAATATAGAAGATTTCTTTAACTGATTACTTGAACCCTCTTGTTGTGCAAAATGGTTTTTGTGACCAGACAGCCCTGTAGGCTCAGACATGGCATTTGCCACTGTGACGTATCTGCTTTACAGAAGGCTTGGGATTTCATTTATTGATTATCAAGGAAAGTACAGACTGAAAAGTTGCGAAAAGGTGCAGTCCTCTCTCAACGTGTCATGAATGTACAAAATTCATTGGTGATTTCTCTACACTTCTGAGAAGAAAAGTGCAGACTCACAGAAAGATATCAATGAGTTGCTATGTCAGCAGGGTTGGAGGCACAAAGAAATTGACAGTAGATAATAAATGTCAGCTCTTCCTTAGTATTTTGGACTCCGGGTTTAACTTAAAGGGCTCAAGTGGCCGGACACAAAATCTAGGTAACAGACAGCTTCAGGACACTTCTTTAACTTGGAGAAAAAAGACTTACATAACTGAGCAATGTAAAATATTACTAGATGTATCATTTTCCAGAAGAATTCTAAAAGAAAGTACTTATTTGCTCGCGAGTACACATAGCAGGCACAGCAAGGTAATAGTCTTGTGATGATTTTTGACATCACCTACGACAATGAAGCTCTAGTTCTTCCTGGCAACAGCCACTAGTATAAAGACACGGAAATAATGACAACTAGTGGGCACTCCAACAGCAGCGTTTAAGTAAGATTGCTTAAAACTTTATCAGTCACCTACAATAGCATTAAGCACAATAAACTACATTTAGCAATTTCCATGTCTACTATTATGTTTATACTGCTGATTTACTTGGCATGAATTCTTTCTTTTCTTCTTTTTCATCTACAAATACATCTGCCAAGGTTACTACTATATGTGAGAAGGGAAAAGCTTAATATACTGTCTAACATAACTGTGTACTTGTGCATAATTTCATAATGTGATTTCAAAAGCCACCTACTCTTGGAGACCTGTGTGCATTCTGCCTATTTTGGTAATCAGAGATTAGAAAGCTCACTTATAAGCAGACTGCCAACACAAGCAAAGAAGAAAAATTTCTGACCCACAACTACCACCATTGGTCATTTAATACTGTAACTGTCTCTCATGTCCTGGAATTCAATGGGCTCACTTCATTTGCCAGAAGGACTATGCAAGGTCAAAGAACACATACCTCCAATGAAGGCATCCACTCTGCGGATGCAGAGGAGCATGTCATGTTCTAAACAGTCTCTTTTTAATTCAATTTAAATATACAACCATCTCTTCTGAGGTTTTGCCATTTTGAAAAACATGTTGGGCTTCTCAAAATTATGTAACAGGACTGAGTAGCTCAAATCATACTAAGGTCAACAGCAGGTATTAAATTGCCAAAGATACCTTGGAAACCCTAGTACAGAGAAACATTACACAGACAAAAAAAGGAATGTGTAGAGTAGATGCTATATTACTCAGGTTATCCTAACCTAGTTAGAACAGAGCAATAGTATGGGACAGTAGCACTGCTAGTAGTGGGTGAACAGCCAAAAGATTGCTTTGAATATGTGTATTATTTATTTATTTTTATTATTTATTATTTTAAACTTGCATCACTGATGAAAAATCTCAAAATTCTGTATTTAATTAAGCAATGGTGGTATTAAAAAACCCAGCACCATTTGTATTGATCTAAATAAATTAATGATTTATTAAATAAAAAAATATGGATTCATTATGAATTAGCACTAACAACATTATTTTGACTGATGGAAAAATCAAGTACAACTGAAAAGGAATAAATTATTTTTCCCCCAACCAAATCAGTATTTTGAATAAATCTTTGTGGTTAGGGATATATGTTGTCTGCGTATGTAAGGATGTGTAAATTGAAGTAATAGTTCTCACCCTCCTCTATCATCCATCAACTTGGAGCTTTCTTGGTGCTGAAGTACTCAAGCCTGAATACCGCATAGTCTGAATATGAGTAGGTTTGACACAAACACACCATGTGCATAATCAGTAGGTAGCAAGATATCTGGCTTTAAGGCTTTCTTACCAAGCCTTCTGATTTGGACTTGAACAACTTGGTAACCCTTTTCAACAAAGTGTTTTCCAGTCATTATTCTGGACCTATCATCTAGAAAATGTCAGTAAACAGTAGCCGCATAATAATCTATCTGCAAGTTTACACTGAGTGTCAATATATTTTCATAATGACACTTATGAATTATATATAGCATGACCAGTAGCAGCAATTACATACAGTACTCTGAGGAATTAACTTCTGTAATCAAACACAATAAAATATTTTGCAGGGCTCAAGAGGATTTGAGGAAGTCACATTCCCGCCTTTTACTGGTAAGTTAAAAGACCCCCAAAGCTGCAGCTCTACCTGTTGTTGGCACAATCCACTTTGGCAGTCCAGGTGCTTTTGTTCTAGCTGGTGCTAGTGTGGTTTTACTAAGAGCTGTGAGAGAGTTTAAAAAGAAAAAAGAAGAAAAAAGAAAAAAAGTTCCATGAGAAGAAAACCCAACAGACTTTTATGTGATGACAACAATTCCACATTAGAGAAGAAAAAATAAAACTTGCTGTGATGATACACACAGTTTTGTTTTCTTTTTTTCTGATTTGGAAAGGCTTTACCTCTGGAGTGATTAATTGAAAGAAAAATACCCTTTTTTTCCCAGCAATACTTAAAATTCCGCTGAGAATAGGTGAAATTAATTAATTAATTATTCTCCTCCCCATCCCAAATTGAATAAACAATTATTACCAGGTCTGGTCTGTGATTTATCAGATGGCTTTGGTCTTGCAGAAGTGAGACGTGTTTTATGAGGTGCTAAAAGAAATAAGGTTCAGTTTAAATGCTACGTGTAAAAGGAACACCAATAGTGCAATGTGATTTGCCAGAAAAAAGGTCCATGCACCAATGCGATACAGCAAAATGGACATATGAGAATTCTGTGAGTTCCAATCCAAAATGCACGCTGAAAATGCTAGTTTCTTTAGCGGTCAGATGACTCCATCATGCAGTCTGACCAGTTACATTCACATTTAAGTTTAGGAAAAGATATAAAATATTTACAGCCAGTTACCCAACTGTATATGGATACAGAGTTAGCTCTGCAAGGTATCCATGGCCTTAAGACATTTAATTAGGTTCTGTAAAAAACAAACAAACAAAAACCTCAAAATAAAACTCCAAACTGGCCCCCCCAATCAAATATTCAGATAAAAACATGAAACATTAAAATATTGCTGAGAAAACAACTGGAAGCATTCAGTGCAGACACTGTGTAGGGCTGCTGAAGCATAGTGTCACCATCAAGGTTAAAATCAGAAGCCTTCAACCTTTTCATATTGCTGCTTTTCACTTGCCAAATAATGTTGATATTTTAGTTGTTACAGAATCTGTGAATCACACTGAAAGCTGAAAGCATAAGCAGTAGTCACTGTCATCTTGTGCCAAATTATCAACTTCTGTAACTCAAATTTTTAAATAAATAGAGCTAGCTATTTGATTTGATCATTCTATCCACAACACTTAATCCAGCCTCTCTGAAGTGTCAGAGAAAATACTTATGCAGATTTAGATTTAATATTTTATAAGGAAAAAGGTGGAAGTCAGTTACATCTAAGTTTGCAACACTGTACATGTGAGGATCCAATACATAGCACTAATTGTTTAAAAGCTTCATATCATCTTTGAGGCAATACTGATTAAACCTTGATCTTCAGAGCAATGAACAAAAAACATTTGATTAGGGGAAAAATAAATTTTCATGTTACGTATTTTAAATAGTTTTAAAGGTAATAACGAACAGACTATTAAACCTTAAACCGTACTGATTTTCCTTAAGATCTACAGACTCTCAATACAACAACTTAAGAAAATCCTAAAAATTACCTGTATTGAACCATGGAATTTCAGTTGCTAGAACAGTTTTGGGCTTGGGTGAAATCTGGTACGTTTCATTGGGAACTGAAAGTGGAGATATTATTGCTTATCAAATGCAGATTATTTCCTTTTAAACATAAGACACCACAGGTGAAAGGGCAATTCAAACTATCTTTGTGCAGAGCCTAAACAAAAAGAGTCACTGCTAGAAACCTGGCTGAAGATCATGCTTTTTACAGATAAGAGACTTTTCAAGACTGGGAAGATATATATCCGTAGTAAGTCAGACAAAAGAAGAAAAGCTGATCAGGTAAAGCCTTTTTATACGATTCCTCAGCCTTGTACATGAAGTAGTTATTTCTAGAAAGAATTGCATGAAAGAAAAAATGTCTGGAGAATTAAAACCAGCAACATTTTGTACGTGCAGTGGAATGTAACTAACAAATGAACATGACATAAAGATATATTAAGGTACTTCTGTTGATTAAAGTGTAAGTTTAGCCGTATAGCAAAAGCAGAGAAAGTTTTATTAAAAATAAACTGACATAATATTCTCATTACCCAAAGTAATTTTGGACCCATCAACAACATGAACTGTTATAAGGTTAATTGATCCCAGGTGCGTTGCCCTTGGAGCTACAAGAAACAAGACATTGTTCTGTGAGAAGTGAAATTAAAGAAGTTGGATTTCATCAAGGATCTGTGTCCTTTGTTTCCTAAAAACCTATCTACACATCTGCTAAGACAATTTTAACAGACATGAAACCAACACATGTTCTGATTAGTCTAGATGTGTTTTCACGCTGAAAGCCTGACAGTGGAACTATTCTGCTGGGCCCCCAGCAACTTCAGAACAAATGCCCTAAAGGTGGAGTTCTGAGAGTCTTTGGTCTTTCTCACACTGGGTATATTAATTTGCACTTCCCTAAAAATGTATTTTTAGAAATTGTAATAATGTATTTATCTTTCAGACATTCTTCCCTCACTCAATTTGTATTTAATTTAGTGAAGGATATCTAAGTTACTGAATGAAAAGGAGAGACTGGCAGGCAGAGGCACACACATGTCTGTCTTTCAGAAATAAGGTTAAAATACGGAAGCTGGAAAGTAACCTACTTACTAGCATAATGGGCAGTGGCTAAATAATGCCATTTGTTTTTAGCAACTTTCCTAACGGTACTTTATTTTGCATATAAATCATTATAATTACTTAAAATTTAAAAGGAAAAGAATAAACCTATGAATTCTGTTTTCTAAAGTTTTCCACCTCAAACTAACTTCGTAGTGGTATCAAAACATGACACTTGTTAACTATGACATGACTGGAAATGGCTTCAACCAAGACTTAGAATCTAACTTGCTTACTTAACAGAAAACCTTTCAAAATAGGGCCTTTAGAAAATAAATCTTTTTCCTGGACTATTCAGTTTGATTTTCACAGTAATATATATGCACAGATCTTGAATGAATAGGGTCTCTGCTTAAATTCTTTTTGGCTATATAAAAAGGGCTAGAAGTCTAAGGGAAAAAAAGGGGGGGGAATTATAAAACTATTCATTAATGTATTTGCCTAAAACTAAAATATTATCAGTTTGGATATTATTTGGATATTATTGGATAGTATTTGGATATATTTGGATATTATAAAGTTTGGAGGTTAGATTAGAGACTAAGAAAGATTAGGAGCTGCTCTTACAACCATGTTGTCATTCCTCTCCTAACAATTTTTTTTCCTCCTGTAACCTTCCTACCTAGTAATTTTTATGGAAATAGTTCACTCCCAGGGTAAAGCTGAGGTATTGTCATCCTTCACTAAAATTATGCATCCCTAAATCTACTGTAGTTACTGCCAAAATCACTGATAGGAAGAAGGAACCTATACTCTTAGCATCTAAGTATCTTGGACTGAAATTCTGTAACCTGAGTTTCAAAAGTACTTGAGCAATTGAAGCAAATCTATTTAGGGTAATAAAATCTCTCAAAAGAAAAGAACTTAGTGAAGCTGCCTATAGCAGTATATTTTTATTAAAATTAACTGAATGGCTACTACCCACCAATTCAAAAAACAAATGTTAAAAAACCCAACCACCTTAACTTCTTCTCTCCATGGAAATTGATGCAATTCTGGGGCATTCTCTTTGATATAATTTATTAACATACTCTGAGCTAATGATACTAATTTTTGTCTACATATCATGCACGTCACATGACTGCGGTACTGAATAACAGCAGAAAGTGTAACTAAGGCAGTGCCACAATCACACTTTTAAAGTTACAGACTTTAAATTACCAGGTTTGGTCTGTGGTACTTCTGGCCCAACAGATGTTTTGGGTTTG